GAAGGGAGGGGTCATTTTCTTCAGAGGAGGAAGCTGTAGTCGGGATGAAGATCTCGATTAAGCTTTTCCTGTGAGGACAACCTGGAAGAAGACCTTGACGTGATTTGGTTGTTGCACACCGAACCACGACTCAATACCTCACGCCTTCTTCATCATATCTGCTTCATTTTCCCCGGCGCATCTCAGTACCCCGCCATCCATCCCTTTCGCAACAACCACCACACATCCACCATGGCCGGCCAACTCCCACAGTGGAAGCAGGACTTCCTCCAGGCCGCCATCTCAGGCAAGATTCTCAAGTTCGGCTCTTTCGAGCTCAAGTCCAAGCGCATCAGCCCCTACTTCTTCAACGCTGGCGACTTCTACCGGGCCGACCTCTTGCGCGCCATCTCCCTCGCCTACGCCCACGCCATCATCGAGGCGACCAAGGACGCCGCGAACCCGCTGCGCTTCGACATTGTCTTCGGGCCTGCCTACAAGGGCATCCCCCTCGCCACCGCCGCCGTAGACAAGCTCGCCGAGCTCGACTCGGCCACCTTTGGCCACACCTGCTACTCCTTCGACCGCAAGGAGGCCAAGGACCACGGCGAGGGCGGCAACATTGTCGGCGCCCCTCTCAAGGGCAAGCGAGTCCTCATCGTCGACGACGTCATCACTGCCGGAACCGCCAAGCGCGAGGCCATTGCCAAGATTCGCGCCGAGGGCGGCGAGGTTGCCGGCATTGTTGTCGCGCTTGATCGCATGGAGAAGCTGCCGTCGCCCGACGGCGATGACTCCAAGCCCATGCCCAGCGCCATGGGCGAGATCAAGAAGGAGTACGGTATCCCCATCTACGCCATCCTGACGCTGGACGACATCATCGAGGGCATGAAGGGATTCGCTTCTGAGGAGGACACGAAGCGCACTCAGGAGTACCGGGCCAAGTACAAGGCTAGCGATTAAGTTTCTAGTTTATCACTGCAGATGTGAGCAGAGAGGAGGACGAGCACTGCTTTTGCGCCCAAGGTTCCACCCAGGTGTTACGAGTAGCTAGCAAAAGGTAGTTCAGGCTTCTGAATAAACTAAACTGGCTGCCTGTCTAGCAGAGGGGGGCGGTACTCTTGTAGAACAGGTAGGCGTCATATGAGGATTAAGATCTCACAACCCCGCTCGAACGCCTGTACACGAAGGAAATTGCTCAATGCCAGGGGGGGCTATTTCAGCCCTTCTGAGCGGGGCCATCAAGGTCGAGAACCTTCGTAGAGGAGGTCAGCGAGTTTGCTCCAGTGTTTGCATCTTTAGACGAAGCAACGGGGGGGCGCTCTCACCATATCGTACCAGCCGCCGCCTCCGAAGGTCACTTGACTCGCGCCCAGTTCCCTGAACCCGAACTTCTTGTAAAACCCTACAAGATGCTAGATCATGCCCGTCAGCACAGTATAAAGACATCGTCATCGAGCAGCACATTGAGACCTACATCCTCGCAGATCAAGGCGATCCGGTCAGCAACGCCCGAGTCGTTAATGATCTGGATATACGATGTCAAAGTTAATTTGCCTATGCCAGTGCCGTGCAGTTTCGGGGAAACAGCAAGCGAATGCAGACAGACGGTCCTGCCATGTTGCTGGTGTCCGACCTTGGCTGACTTGGCTGCATCGGCGTCACGCCAGTTCTGCGGGTATCTCAGGTCGTCATCAGTCACGACGGGGCTCTTGCCCATGGTTGCGACGGCATGCGCACAGAGGACGAGGACCTCGCCGTCCTCTCTGTTCGTCTCGACGGGATTCGCCGTCGCGAGGGTTTCCAGACCAAAGCCTTTTGCCTCGGATGGCTTGACGCTGCAGAAGAGGCCGAAGCAGATGTCTGAGCATTGGGAAAGACGGTATTGGAACTAAGACGTGTTAGGGAGAGCAAGGGTTGGGAAAAGTGTGGTACTATGGGGCGGGCGGGAAGTGGCCTAGGTGCGTCACCTGTTCGGGATGGCATCGGTGATTCGGATTCGTAAACGCGGCATCCTCCAGAGCCTGGCACGAGTTGACGCTCGACACGGTGAGCGGGAGGAATAACGGACTAAAGTGAAATGGCACGATCGACTGGACGCGTTGGGCGGTAGAGTCTTTTCGTTGCCGCTTGTGTTCTGCGGACTGGATCCTCCGAATCTCGACCATCTCTTCATCTTCGTCAACTGAGTCGTCGATAGCACACTTGGCGTCGATCGTGTCTTCGGGATGAGATCCCGCCATCTCAAAGGACGCCATGAGGAAAAGGAGTCAAGATGAAGGTGTACAGCCCGGGGTGTGCGGCTGGTGAACCGGCGTCGTGGGGCGGGGTTTTGTCAGGTAGGTAAGGTAAGGTAGGTAGGTAGGCACGTTGAGTGAGTGAGGGGTTGATCGAGATGTCAAATGATGGCACAGACTATTGGTCCTCAGAGGGGAAGTAGAGCCGAGTGGATTCTCAAAACCATCTTACCAAGATGAGGAACAGGACACGACGCAAAAGAGATGTAGTTGGAGAATTGCGATCGATGTGTAGTCAGATGGGTTGGGGTTGTAAAGTCGCGTGCTTCCTACCAACGGATGGGATGGAGTACAGGTACAGGTACAGGGTCTGAGGGTCAGCAAGGAGCCACTGGTTCGTGGCGGCTGGCGTGTCAGACAGAGTACCGGCGATCACTCATTTTGAGCTGTCTCGTCCGGTGATCTGCCAAGGCAACCTTTGTCCTGCCTTGGAAGAATTTACTTCTGAGGAGGCTGTCTCTCTAGCTACCCGCGAGCAGATCTGCCCATCAACTCATACGACATCGTGCCACCCACATTGCAGACTCGGGCACCGGGCTTAATGGCACCCGAGTCAAAGAGTTGGCTGGCAGCGGGGATGTGCTGGCCTCACTGGCATGACTG